GCTCTGGTCTATGAGTGACCATAAGCACTCTCTTCTTCTTTGGAACTGTGAGGAAGATTTTCTCTCTACCACCACTACAGGCTTTACCGTGCCAGCACTCCTTCTGGTCCCAGGACTGCCACCCAGAACTGTGACCCAGATCCAACCATGGGCAAAGCAAGAGATTCCTGCCTCAACAATGGCAAAGAGATCCCTGCAATCCCCCTTTGATCAGCCACCCAATTCCCCTTCAATCTGTGGCCAGAAGCTCAGGAGGCAGCTGCTGCTCTAGGGCCATGCTCAGGAACTGGGGCTGGGACAGCACTTCTCTCTCACTGTAGTCACAGACTTTTCCCACTGACCTTCTAAGTTGACTTTGGCATTAGTGGATTGAGAAATCAGGTGCCATAGCTGCTCATGATTCAGTCCCCTGTGGCCTGCTCCAGGTTCACTGAGACCTGTCTTCCCTGTGCACCCCCGTCAAACTGTACTCCTCTCCCCACCTGGCCAATATACCTTTCTGATCAACCATCCAGGCTGTCTTGGGCTGGAAATTTGTTTTAATCTGCCTTTTTTTGGGTTCTGCTGCTTTGGAATTTGTTTAGAGCCATTTTTTACAGGTATTTGGAGGGGTTTGGGGGAGAGCTCAAGCAAGTCACTGCTTTTACTCCACCATCTTGGCTCTGCCCCCCACCCCCACTAAAAATTTAAAGAATACTCCTAATACTATATAAACTATTTAGGAAAATAGGTGAAGAAGGAGTCCTACCAAATTCCTGTTACAACACAAATATGGTGCTGATACCCAAAATAGGAAGAGCCAAAACAAAGAAAGTAAATTATAGACTAATTTCCCTAATGAATATTGATATACAATTTGTAAATAAAATGCCAGCAAAGAGATTACAGCAATATATCACTATGATCAGGCAGGATTTATACCAGGCATTCAGGGTTGGTTCAATATTAGGAAAACAATCAGCATAATTGACTATATCAGTAACCAAACCAGCAAAAGTCATATGATTACCTCAATAGATGCAGGAAAAGCCTTCGACAAAATACAGCAGCCATTCCTATTAAAAAAAAACACTAGAAAGCATAGAAATAAATGGAAGTTTCCTTAAAATGGTAAGTAGTATCTATCTAAAGCCATCTGTAATGGGGATAAGCTAGAAGCCTTCCCAATGCAATCAGGGTGAAACAAGGATGCCCATTATCACCTCTATTATTTAGTATTTAATATTGTATTAAAAACATTAGTTGTAGCAATTAGTTGTAGAGAAGAAAAATAAAGGAATTGGAATAGGCAATGAGGAAACAAAACTATCACTGTTTGCTGATATGATATTATACTTAGAAAATCTTAGAAAATCAACTAAAAACTACTTGAAATTATTAACAACTTTAGCAAAGTTGCAGGAAATAAACCCTCATAAATCATCAACATTTTTATATATTGCCAACAAAATATAGCAACAAGAGATAGAGAAATTCCATTTAAAATAACTGTAGACAATATAAAATACTTGAGAGTCTACCTGCGAAGACAAACCCAGTAACTATAATAGCATAACTATAAAACACTTCACATAAATCAAGTCAGATCTAAACAATTGGGAAAATATAAATTGCTCATGGGTAGGCTGAGCCAATATAATAAAAATGATAATTCTACCTAAATTAATCTATTTACCCAGTGCAGTACCAATCAAACTATCAAAAATTATTTTATACAGCTAGAAAAAAAATAATAAAATTCATCTGGAAGAACAAAAGTTCGAGGATATCAAGGAAATTGATTTTTTTTAAATGTGAAAGAAGGTGATCTAGCTGTATTATAAAGTGGTAATTATCAAAACAACCTGGTACTGGCTAAGAAATGGAGTGGTGGATCAGTGGAATAGATTAGGTACAAATTACATTATAGTAAATGACCTTAGTAATCTAGTATAGCATAAACCCAAAAATCCAAGCTTTTGGATCAAAAACTCATTACTTGACAAAAAATGGCTGGGAAAATTAGAGAGTAGTGTGGCATAAATTAGGGATAGGCCAACATCTCACACTGTATACCAAGATAAAGTCAAAATGGGTACGTGATTAATACTGTTAGCAAATTAAGGGAACATGGAATAGTTTATCTGTCAGATTTATGGATAAGGGAAGAATTTAGGACCAAAGAAGATATAGAGAGCATCACAAAATGCAAAATAGATAATGTTGATTATATAAAATTAAAAAGATTTTGCATAAACAAAACCAATGCAGCCAAAATTATAAGGAAAACAGAACACTGGGGGCAAATTTTGCCACAAGTATCTCTGATAAAGGCCTTATTTCTCAAATATATAGAGAATTGAGTAAAATTAATAAAAATATAAGTCATTCCCCAATTGATAAATGTCCAAAGAATATGAACAGGCAGTGTTCATAGCTATCTATGGTCATATGAAAAAATGCTCTAAATCACTATTGATCAGAGAAATGCAAGTTAAAACAACTCTAAGGTACTATCTCACATCTAGCAGAATGGCTAATATGACAAAAAAAAGGAAAATGTTGGATGTTGGAGGAGATGTGGGAAAAGTGAGACACTGTTGCATTGTTGGTGGAATTGTGAACTGATCCAGCCATTCTGGACAGCATTTGGAACCATGCCCAAAGGGCTATAAAACTATGTATACCCTTTGATCCACTGCTAGGTCTATATCCCAAACATATCCAAAAAAAGGGAAAGGGACCTATTTGCACAAAAAATTTATAGCAACTCTTTTTGTAGTGGTAAGAATTGAAAATCAAAGGGATGCCAATCAATTGGGGTATGGCTAAACAAGTGTATGATTGTAATGGAATATTACTGTGCTATAAGAAATGACAAGCAGGATGATTTCAGAAAAGCCTGCAAAGACTTACATGAATTGATATAAAGTGAACAGAACTAGGAGAAGGTTATACTCAATAATAGCAATATTGTTTGATGAAGAACTGTGAATGACTTAGCTATTCTCAGCAACACAGTGATCCAAGACAATCCCAAAGGACTAATGATGAAGCATACTATCCACCTTCAGAGAAAGAACTGGCATTGACTGAATACAGACTGAAGCATGCTATATTTTACTTTCTTTCTTTTTTTCCCTTTTATTTGAGTCTTCTTTTACAAAATGACTAATATGAAAATGTTTTACATAATTTCAAATGTATAACCTATATCTGATTGCTTACCAGCTCTGGGGGGAGGGAGGGGAAGGAGGAATGGAGGAATGGAATTTGGAACTCAAAACTTTAAATAAAAAATGTTAAAAAAAATCAAAGAAGAAAAAAAAGTTGTTCTTCCTCATTTCCTTCAGGACACAGCTCAAACTTTCTTCATGAAACCTTTTCTGATACCCTTAACTACTAGTGCTGTCTCTTCCAAATCACCTTCTATTTAATTATTTTGTATTTATTCCAGCTAGGTGGTACAGTGGATAGAGCTCTGGGCCTGGAGTTAGGAAGACTCACCTTCCTGAATTCAAATCTGGCCTTAGACACTTACTAACTGTGTTACTCTGGGCAAGTCACTTAACCCTGTTTGCCTCAGTTCCTCATCTGTAAGATGAGCTGGGGAAGAAATGGCAAAGCACTCCAGTGTCTTGGCCAAGAACACTCAACATGGGGTGACAAAGAATTGGACCCAACTGAATGACCAAACAGCAGCAGTAATCTATTCCGTGTCTACGTAGATGTGTTCATGTATATAGAGATATGGGCACATAAACATATATATGTTTATATGTATTTATACATATATATTCACATACATACATAAATATGTACTTGCTTTCTCATCATTAGACTATAAACTTTTTGAGAATAGGGATGGTTAAATCTTTTGCATTTGGATGTCAAACGCCTGACATATAGAAGGTGCTTTAATAAATGCTTATTGATTAATGGAGGTAGTATGCATGTCATGGTGGAAAGAGTCCTGGAATTGCAGTTAGGTTCACATCCTGGCTCTATAAGTTACTACCTGCAGGAAAAGGCCATAGATATGTGGAATTAGATAGATAGGTAGATAGATAGATAGATCGCGATAGATGGATGGATGGATAGATAGATAGATAGATAGATAGATAGATAGATAGATAGATAGATGGTTTGGTTAGATATGGTTAGATAGATATATAATTTGGTTGTTTTGTTGTTGGTGGTGGTGTTTTCCCTGAGAATATGAAGTGATAAAATGAGATAATGACTGTAAAGTGCTTGCAGATCTTAAAGCACTATGTAAATGCCAGCTGTGAAGGCATAAGATTAAATCCAAAGAGATTTAAGGAAAGCATTTCAGTATCTGATATAATGCACAATTTGATAAATTGTTATATCTGTAATGTAATTGTATTTCAGGTGGTTGGAATCCCTCTAAATAGAGCTAATAAAGTGAATTTAAGCTTGCTAGTCTTTGCAAATTATTAATTAGGACAAAGCTTTGTATAATAAAAAAAATATGATGGTGATAACCATCTCCAAAAACAAGAAATTTCCAAGGTCTGGACCCGTGATTTCTTCATATAGTAAGAAAACTCTAAAGCAGATCATCATTGTCTTAGAGAATCCCCTGAGTTACTAAAAGGTAAAGCATGCCTTACTCAGGATCTCACAGAGGTTTTATGTCAGAGACAGGTCTTGAACATAGGCCTTTCTGACTCTTGCTGCAATATCCCTGTGGGCTACCTCTCAGGACAATATTGGCCTTGGGAATTACTATGACTGGGTTCTAGTTTAGAAGCAATAAGTCTTTCTAATAGCAGTGTTAACAAAATATTACTTAGATTTACATTTGATGAAAGAATTTGTGGCACAAAGGCACATCTATTTAATGAAAAGACAAGCATAATAATAACAGTAGGGCACAAAATTCAGAAACTCTGTATCTTTCTTTGTTACTGTAATTTTGCCTGTGTAAAGTATCCTTGGAGCTGCTAGAAAAGGAGCCCGCGTAACCAGAATACTAATTTTATAAATGCTCTTACTTCATGTCCACTGTCCAAGTTAGAGCTGCTTTGAGGAGCAGCTGAGGATTTGATGAAGAACTTTGTAAATACTCTATTTAGAAGCTTTTTTTTCTCGTCTTCTGGGCAGTCGATATTTTCCCTCTTTTGTGCTTTATTGCTGAGAACGTTTGTATGGAAACAAGATCTTTGTTTCTTATGAGCACATCTGTTCTTTCTGCTTGTCCCTTACGAGAAGTCACCATCCTCTCTGACATCATAATCATTTCCACAGCAACCAGCATCGTTCACTGTTTCTTTAATCAGAAGTTACAGAATGTAAGCCTTAGCCAAGTATTTATCTCAAGACAAACAATAAGTCCCACTGTTATAAACATCCCACGTGCAGACCATTTAAATGAGGGGGGAAAAAAAGCAAAGCTTTGGTCTTCAGATTTTAGTTCACTTAAAACCCACATTGCTGACAGTTTCCATCATGCATCATTTTGAGCAAGGAGAGAATGCTTTAGGAAACAGATTCTGAGGTGGCCAGTCCTGTTGTACTCCAATGCCCTCCCATATAGCTTGGTGAGCCTTAGTTCAATGAGGGTGAAAATATACAAGACATGGTATTTTATGTTCAACAATAAATAATGACATCAATTTAAATAACAACAGGAAGGGTCCTGAGATCCTTTATTTAAAATGACTTTATGAACAGGCAGCACACTCCCTCAGCCCCTGGAATGCTGTCATCTCTGTCATGAAACAACAATGAAGAACCAAGGCATACAATTACTCAGATGTTAAGACTTGGCTTTGCACAAACCACACAAACAGAGAAGGAACTTTGTGATATGGACTACCAAACAATATTTAATTAGCATTTCCAAGTAAACTTGGATTTTTTTTGTGACCCAATTTTAAGGTTTGTATATGGTTTGTGCCCATATAGCTTGTGTGTATCTAGATAGGTCTGTCTTAATAGGGGTTCAGGCAGGCAGAAAATACTATCCCTAAAGCCTCTGCCAATTCCGAGGGAGACTTTGATTTTTGCCGGGAGGGGAGCAGGAGGTTGGAGTCATGTGGTTAGAAGCTCTCCTTTCCTCATACAGGAGGTATTGGAGTAGACCTAAAGTTATATCTATCCATTCCCCCCCCCAATAGTTACTCTAGAAGAAGTAATGTTTCAAACCACTCTTGATTACTATGCCTTAATGGTGAAAGAATACCAAAAGCTCTACATCAAAAGGCTTGACTTCTTATCCACCAAATGCCATTTCCAAAAAAAAAAAAAACAACCCATCCCACACAGTGAATAACAAATAAACACACTCATCCATGCCAATAGCAAAAATGAATTCAGACAAGTGAAACAGCTTACAATATACCAGGCAATATACAGAGAGAATGAGCTCTCTCATTGGGAGTGAGATATCTTAGTTCAACCACAAAAGAGTCTCCAATACTATCCAGTGGGAAATTCCTCAGAGATTCTAGTATGGTAAGCTAGGGACAGGCACATGTTCAAGGCCCTGGCTCCTCTCCGTATGGCTTCTTTCTGGAGTCTTTCTCTCCATTCATGGACTTTTCTCTGAAAAAGAACCAGGAACCACATGTGTGTCCTCTATAAAAGCTGGAAGCTAAAAAATCTTAGAATTCTCCTTTCCCAAGCTCTTACCAACTATGCCCCTCAAGCAGGCATCTATGATCTAGCATTCTTCACCAATAAGGATGAGAGTCTTATGCAAATGGCCTTGAGCCCTGGGTTATACAATCATCCATGAAATATATCTAATTAATGCCTACTGAGAGCATAATACAATCTTAGAGGTGTGGAGGCAATATAGGAGGTAGAGGAAGGGAGGAGATGTGTGAAATATTGAAGGCAAGTCTGAAACTTGGAGTTGAGCACCCAGGGTGAAGAACAGACGGCTCGGGGCTTCATTGCCAATGCATCCTAAGCAAATCCAAGATCTGTGGTGGCTGGGTTTTGGACCCAAGCAGAACTAGGGCAGGATCAGTAGAGTTTTAGGTGGCCAACAGTAGATATCCAGGACTTAGTCAAAAGGTAAGTGAGACTTAAGGCAGAAAACAGCCACTGGGAGTTCCCAGTAGGAATTGCAGTCACTAGGAGGAGAAGAGAACAAGACAATTACTTGGAACTGGTGGGTATTCCATTTCACATATAGAATGTCATTGGGAAGCAAGATAGGAGCCCAGTAACTGGGGTGCCAGGGTTAAAACAAGGCCAAGAACAAGGCTGACTCATTTCTGAGCCAATGCAGGCGGAGTATAGGGAGACCTAGGCTAGCAGTCCTATATCTCAGAAGGAAGCTATCTTTTGCTGCTTTGACCATTATATTCCTCTTCTAGGAAGTGGACTCTCCCCTATTGTTAATCCTCACAGAAACTGAGTTCAACTTTTTAAGCTACAGTCTTGATTCCCTTCACTTGCTTACTGTTGGGACAGGCCTCTTCTAACCTCATGCTGTGGTGTTACAGTCTGTCCCTTTTCTGAATACCATGTAAGTTTTGTCTGGCCTATTCTGTAACCAAGTGAGCCTTAAAATATTTGGCATCCACAACTGTGGATGCCAACTGTTCTTGAACTTTACTAGAGACCTCGGCGTCATGATCAATAGAGTACCTGACTGTCAGTCAGGAAGATCTGAGTTCAGTTCCAACCTCAGACAGTTATCTGTGTGGCTCTGGCCAATTCACTAACCCTCTGTTTTCCTCATTTGTAAAATGAAGGTAATAGAACCTACTTCCCAGGGTTGTTGTGAGGCCCAAATGAGATAATAATTGTAAAGTGCCTGGCATGTAGTGAGTGCTATTTAAATGTTAGCTCTCATTCTTATTCCTTTATCACTACCCAATAGAAATTAGTAGAACACGTTGGTCAGATTTGTTGCCTTGTAGAGGGACAGGTACCCCGAGGTGGGGAAGGAAGACTGCTATTCCCCAGCTCCCCATTTTTTCTGGTGATTCTCTTGCTCATTCCTAGCTCATGTACCATCAACATGCTTCCCCTCTATGCAAAAAAAGGCAGCGTGGTCAAATAGATTGAATGCTGAACATGAAGTCCAGATGAGTTATATTTGAGCCTTACATTGGCTGCTTTTATTAGCTGGGTGGTTATGGGCAAGTTTCTTCATTTCTGTGAACCCATTTTCTCATCTGCAAAATGGAGATAATAATACCAGTGCTATCTACCTCAAAAGACTCTTATGAAACCCAAATGAAATAATGTAAAGCACTATAGAAATGTCTGCTGTTATCATTCTGTTTAGACTTGGTCAGGTCCAGCCTCACTTTCCCAGCTTCATCTCCATAAGAGGTATCTTCTCACACTGTACTTTGAGGATGAAAGTACCAGATCCTGAAATGGGTATCTACTTTTGATACAAATGGGAACTAATTACTTTAAAACACTGCAAGATAGGTTCCACTTCATTTCTAATTGTACTCAAGATACAGAGAGTTAGTGAGATAGCACATAGCTACTCTTGGTGAATTTAAGGAACAAGACCCAGATGCACCACATGCTTGGATACTGAAATAAAGGGAAAGTATGATTACTGAGCACCTTTCAGTGATATTCAAAAGATGGATAGTAAGAGATTGGAGCAGAAACAGAAAAGGGCAAATGTCCCTATTTAGGAACAAAAAAAAAGGAAAACAGAGACCTGTAAACTATAAGCTGGTGGAGTTTGTCTTTTATTAATGGCAAAATACTAGAACATATTATTAAAGGGGTGGTTAGTGAATATTTAAAGAAGGAAGCTGTGATCACAGAGTCACTATATGGCAAAGAGCTAGAAATTGAGGGGATACCCATCAATTGGGGAATGGCTGAACAAGTTGTGGGATATAGTTGTGATGGAATACTATTGTGCTATAAGAAATGACAAGCAGAATGGTTTCAGAAAAAATATGACAAGACTTACATGAACTAATGCAAAATGAAGTGAGGAGAACAAGGAGAAAACTGTACAACGTAACAGCAATATTGTATCAGTGATCAACTGTGAAATACTTAGCTACTCTGAGTAATATGACAATCCAAGACAGTTCCAAAGAACTCATGATGAAAAATGCTATCCACCTCCAGAGAGAGAATGGATGAACTCTTAGCACAGATTGAAGTATATTTTTTTCACTTCTCAACAGATGGAGGAGAAGTGGGAAAATTTTAAAAAGTGAATGTTAAAATAAATAAATAAATTCATTAAAAAGAGAAACAAGAGCTGTCATCATTTCATCAAGAACAGGTCGTGCCATTTCAGGGTTTCTACATAAATAGTTTGAAAATTCAGTCATAGATTTTTCACAGAGTTTAAAGCTTAGAGGGACCTGAGAGGATTAGTCTAATTGCTTTGCTGAATGGGTATGGCTTCAGACACACTGAGAGCTGGGAAAGACCTTAGCTTAAAAAGACCAAGGTCTCCCACTGCGTCCAGGGCCATCTCCAGTTGTCCTGATCTGTGTCTTGTCACTGCACCCAGATGGCTGTGGAGGAGAGAGTAAGGCTGGTAACTTTGCACAGCCCTGCCTCATTTAAATCCAATCACTTGCAAATCAAGACAACACCTTCCTATTATCATTGATCCTCTTTGAGAAAGGACAAACAACAACAAAAATAGTAGATTAGAGGAATGATATAGCCCTAGATTTTAGCTAAGCACTGGACAAAATCTTTCATTTTATTCTTATAGAGAAGGTAGAGAGATATGAGCTAGACAGCAGAAAAATTTGGTGTATTTACAACTGACTTAAAGAATAGACTCAGTCATTAATGGTTGGATGGCAATTTGGGAGGAGGCTCCTGGGGTATCTGTGCTTAGCTTTGTGCTGTTTGTATTTATTAGTGATTTAGATAAAATCATAGATGCTATGCATATCAATTTACATTTACACAAAGATAAGAGGAATTGCTAACATATTAGATGACAGTCAGGATCAAAAAAGATCTTGGTAACTCAGAATCAACTTACAAGATGAGATTTACTAGGAATAAATATACTGTCTTTTATGATTCCAAAACAACTTTCCAGGGCGTCTGTCAGCTTCAGAGAAGGGGCTCATCTGCATTGGTAAAGAAAGTTCCCTACTGGTAGTTCCTTACACCAATGAAATAAGACCTACTCCAGGAAAAAACATAAAGGATACTATGAAATATGGATCAGGACTTATTTTTAACCATCAGAATATCCAATTTAACCAACAACTTTTGCTGGATAGTGATGCATTTTTACAGTATTTTGTCATCTTTGCTCTTTGAGGGTAAAGACTATTTTTCCCTTTCTCTGCA